GGCCTATGTATATGTCATAGTTACTCAGAATACCTGAACTGAACTCTCTTCCTGATCCTCTATCTCTGTATTCTCAGGACTACTGGCTTTCGCTACTTTACAAGCGCCTGATTGGCCCCAAAGTCTTGGCAGTGCATGTAGCTGGGCTCCAGCGGAAGCCACGGCCCGGCCGAGTGATCCGGGACAAACTAAGAATTTATGCTCACTGCACAAACCACCACAAGTAAGTCCTCATAAAAATGGAACAGAAAGGCTGCCCAATAAGTTTCAGCCCCTCTGAGAATTCTATGCCATTTGGAACCTCTTGAAGAATCACCTATATTTACCGATAATGGAAAACTGCCTCTGGGATCACCATACTCTGCAGATTCTCAAATGATTAATAATAGATTTTTTTCCAATTATACCTCTCTTTTCATACTTACAGGATTTATTCATAAAGAAATTCATAAGACATGTGGTATTTGTTCACCTAACAATTTTTTGTTGGGTATTTTCTCTGTAACAATTTATACAATGTTCATGAAGTTTTTTGGTTGTCTAAGCCTAAGGCAAGGCAAAAGGCCATGTCTTGTCCTATAATGCACTGACAGGGCTTTAGGAAAAGGTCTCCATTTATAAAACGCCTGCTGAGAGTTGCACTGTGAGGAACCTAGCTCCAGTGTGTCTCAAACTGGGTACCACAGCACTGAAAGGGTTCCTGAGAACAGCCCGACCCGCTTCAGAGTTCTTTTCAGTACTGAAAAGAAAAAAAAAAAAGAAAGAAAATTTCAGCTATATTAAGTGTTAAGAAGCTAAATCGAATGTAGGCATCCTTTCAGGAGATGGGAGATAGATCAAGAGAAGGGAGATCCCCAAAGGTGCTGCATTCTAGTGTGGTGATACTGGTTACCCTTCTCTTTTTGACCAGAAGAACTAGTGGTCACTAAAGTTGTCTTTAAAACAAACGGGAAAATTAATGATCAGTAAATAAACAGATAAAAATGTTTTCAAAACGTGAAGATCATGAGTGAAAATTTTAAATTGGTCTTAAAGCAAAACCCATCTGATCAAATATGTCTGACAGCACTTCCTGTTTAAGGAGAGTAGGCTGCCCTGGGAAAGACAACTCCTTCTCTTACTACAGAGAAAACCTGGGAGCAGGCTTGTGGGGGCTACCTCCTGCCAGGTCTCTATCTCTGGGCCTGTCAAGCCTATCGGGAGTTGATCAAGGGGAGGGGAAGCACAAAGAGCTGTGTGATCAGATTACACCAGATGCTTCTTCTCAGTCCTTGATGAGACAGGAGCCAAGCCAGCTAATTCCTCATGATAAGCTTTTTCAAAGAATAACTCTGAGCAAAGGGGGGCAAACAGCCAGTTGTCTTGCCTCTAGATACAAGTGCCTATTGTAGGTGAGGGGAGGTTGGTTTGGGCAGAGGCCAGAGGCTTTCAACATGCCTTTTGCTCAGCAGGAAGCTCAGCCCCATACCTGACAGAGTGACTGCTGGATGGCCTTGGTGTGGAGTTATCTGATCTCCACACAAGGGAACATTGTATTCCTTGTCTCTGCCTACCCCTGAGGTAACCACCCAAAAGGGAGACCCCAGCCTAACAGAGAGAAATTGCTCTTGGCACCTCCTGCCCCTGTTGGAAAATATGCCCGTCTTCGGCCTTTATACTACTGTTCTAGGGACTTGAGGAAAAAGCGTCTGGAGCTTTATGGGTTTGGCAAGATTTGTATGTCTTCCCTACATATTCTTAGCCTGATGTTCACCCAAGCGTTCTTTGCCATTCCCATGGGAAGTCATCATTAATATCCTAAGTACACCATGAACTCAAGACCGGCATTTTATTTTTATATTCTTAATGTCTAATATTGTAACTAGCATGAAGAAGGTCTCACAGATATTTGACAGAGAATGAAAGGATGAATGCAGAACTAAGACATCAGTACGTTACTGCTGGCTTATACTTTTGCTCTTTTCCCCTGTGATGTCACCAAGAGAGGATGGTGTGGTAGAGTCGCTAGTTATACCATTCACTATTAGTAAAATCATCTGGATTTAGAACCTCTCTGGGGATGCGATTCCACCATGACTCTTTTAGTATACTCTCTTCCTTTTCCAGTTAAAAAGAAAGAAGAAAAGACTTTCATTACCCATGGATCATGCATTATGTCACATATGACCCATAAAGGTGAAAACTGAGGCAAAGGTCTTTAGCCCCTAGCATACCTACAGTGGACACAAGGAGCCAGCTAAGCTTACACACCTCCTCCACATAGCAGGTGACAGGTGCCGAGATAGGTGTGCACAGGAACAGAGGTGTGCCTGCGCTGCTCTGGGAAGCCATGTGGCCTGCCTGAGCCCTCACATCCCCTACAACAGTCCTAAGAAAGCACTACTGATTCATCCAGTTTATTTGTGGCCAAAGAGGCTAAAGTAACAGAACCAAAGAAGAGTGCACATGTTGACATCACGCTGATCAACCTTGATCACTGATCTGAAAAATAAATATGCTGGGTCAAAACAAGGGTTGGATAACAGGGATAAACTTAGTACCAGAACCACGTAAAGGAAGTGTCCTTTAAAAGAACAACTGCACTCCAGTGTGTAGCTGAATGTTTGCAATGTAACAAGCACCTTGCCAGATATTTGCATTTCTATTGTCTTCCTGAATTCCTGAACAAAGGTTTGACCCTTAGAGTTGAGGCCAACATCCTGTGGCGCACAAGACTTCCTCTTCCTTCTTTCTGACAGTCGCACAACACCTACCTAGAGAGCCTACTGCCTCTCCTGGCAGCCTCTGACCTAGCAGGCCCTTGTCTCTTAGAGTTGATTTAGAAGATGAAGTTGGGTGGCATATCAACATTGGCAGGTACTTTTCTGATTTTTTACTCTGGAGTTAACGAATTAAGTCACTAGAGTAAACTAATCAGCAGTTCTTACCCCCGATCTTACACAGAGAACAATCAAATTTTGACAGGGAAACCTTTTCATATGAGCCATTCTACTGAGATAATGTATGCTTGTGGGCGGAGCAGAGGTCTGTAGCCAAGCTCCGAACCAATTGGAACCTGGTGGACGCTGAAGGAAAACTGAGCCTTTGGGGGTTCAAGTTAGTATACTATTGGCAAAACACAACTTCCTGTTTTCCAGAAGAAGTTTTTTTAAAGGCTCATAAAAAAGGTTCCTGAGGCTTCTTGGACATCAATGACTCTTGCAAAAAAATATTTTGATGAGTTAAGTGTAAATGAATCAGAAACATGTGGATTAAATTTCCCTTAAAATACACAGGGGCTTTAAAATTAAGGGAAAAAAAATGTTTGGCAAAACATGGCCTGACTTTTACCGAACCAAAAACCTTTGAATTAGATTTGGATAGATTGGACTGACCCAGTATTCAAGCACATTGGCTTTCACTGGGAACGACCATGGGCTGCAAACCATCACCCTCCTTTCTGTTCCCAGACCCCTAGCTTCACTGGAGGTGTTTCTACCACAGCACTGTTTTCTCTCTGGAACTCAAGAAGCACCATCCACATGACATCTCCCACCTCTTATGTGGAGGATATTCCAATTCAAGTTTCCCTTCCCTGACTCACTTCCTCCTCCTCCTCCTCCTCCCATGGCAACACAGAGAAGACGTCAAGCAGGCGAAGAACAGCCAGCAGAGATGAACTCCAGATACATGGGCTGGCTGCTGGTGGAAAAGTCTCACCACGAGTGAGACACAGAGCAAGATGAATGTACTATCCCAGACAGCTTCTCTCCAGACAAAGCCATTCACAAAGGTGACCAAAAGCCACCTGGACTTGACATCGGGCATCAAAAATGGCCTCCTCAACAAGCCTTCAGACCATTTTTCTTAAGGAACAGACAGACACTCCTCCAGGATTAGTTTTCTGTGGACATAAAATACACTTTCTTCAAGAATCTGAATTGTTGGAGCACAGTATTCATAGGTTGATGCTATGATCAGCAGCCAAGAATTTATCTTCCAGCCGAAAAGCTTCTGCATCATGTCCTTGCCTATCAGTCAGGCAGAGTGCGGGATAGTTAAAGTGGTCTGCTCTTCGGTGCCAGTTTCTACCTGAGGAGGACTCAAAAGTTATGTGAGAGCCTCCCACGTTGGTCCCTGGTCTGCACTGGTTTGTCTCCCCCAGGGGAACAATGTAAATGGAGATCAGACCATTGCCAAGCAGCTTGGAAAGACCACTTTCCCTGCAGCAGTGCTATGATTTCAAGCCTCCCACCCACCCACCATTTCCCCACATCCTACCCTTCTCTCTGAAGCTCTGAGCACTCATTCTGCCCCCAACATGTTAAAAAGAACCTCATAAATGCAAGCCTGTGGCTCTCTCCTCTCTGCTTCTGGCCTTGAGAGTATTATTTGATAGTTGTTTGCAAAAGGGTTTACTGCAATCTGGCAAAACTAGTACCCATCAATGCCTATTTTTCTCACACCCTGAGGCCCAGAGTACAATAGTTAATGATCTCTTCCTCAAGTATGCACGTATTTTAGCTAAACTAAAAGCCCACCAATGGAATCTAGTTGTTCTAGTGATGGTCAGTGGCAGCACGGACTGTCAACATCTTTCTCCAAAGCTATGGTGACACAAGCCTTCTCAGAGCCATTGCATGTTCTTCTGATTCATTTGGCAGCAAAAGCTAGTTAACGTGTCCAGGGATTGGGAGGGACTGGAGAAGAGACTGCATAGGAGAGGCATATAAGAATTTATAAATGTAGGCATATAAAAAGCTTTACACACATTAATGCACAAGGTACAAGAAAAATACTCTGATGTATAGCCTGTCGGTATTCTGGGAGTTCTTCTCATAACCTTAATGGATTTTTCTAAGTAAGTGTTTCTAAACCCAGCTATTATTTCAGAAATAATAGACCAAATACTTCAGAAAAATTTTAAAATACAGATTCCCAGGTCTGAAGCCTAAATGGATTGAATCAGAATTTCCAGGGAAGAGCTCTGGAAACCATACTTATTTGAAAAATCCCAAGTTATCATACTGACCTGCCCTTGGTCACTAAAGTCTTAATTAGCACCTTCAGAAGTAGAGATCAGTGATCCAAGGATCAAGGGGTGATGGGTCTGTGAGGAGCGATGTTTCCCTTTGGGCAAAGTTGACTTAGAGTTTCTCCAAACTTCTTTGAAAGCAGGGCTGGGTCATTTTTTCTGTTTCCTCTCATTAACCCATCCAGATGGGGCCTTCAGGGACCCCTTAAAAACAAGGTCTTTTTTCTTACAGAGAGAAGGAAATCATTATAGTTTTGTTGATACATGCTGAGAAACTCTTACATGTAGGCATATCGTTCTCCCAGGCTTCTGGACATCCTGTACTAGTTTAAAAGAATCCCAAATGGTGAATACTTTTATAATCTTGAGGTAGGTAAAACAGCAAAAAGCAGGAATCAAAAAGATAGATTGACTACATAAAATTTTTTTAACCTGTATGTATCAGAATACATTGTAATCTGAAATAGAGAAAGACAACTGTGGGATATTTTTGTACCATGAATATATACAAAAGATTTCTTTCACAAATAAATAGTTTTTATAAATCAATAGAAAGTGGCCGGGGAGATGGCTCAGTAGAATAAGCGCTTTCCTGGCAAGTGCAAGGGCCTAAGTTCAGTCCCCGGTTCCGGAAAAAAAAATAAAATAAATCAACAGAAAATGGCCAAAGGACATGAACAGGCGGTATATAAAAGAAGAAAGAAAACAGCAGATAATCAAAGGAAAAATGTGGCGCTTTAGTATGAAGTGTAAAATTGTTCATGCTACCACAAATTGAGATCCCATCTTGACTTTCACATCCATGAAGATATTTTAAAGATTAATTTCTATATTCTCAAGGAAATGAAGAAATTGGTGCTCTCATACAGAGCCAGTGGAGCCAAATTTCTAAAACCCTTTCTGGAGAGTTATTATCAAAATCTGTGAAGCTATTAGTATAAGTGAGGTTAGGCTGCGACAACAAAGAACCCTCAAATGTCCGTGGCTTTCAATAAGGAAATGTATTTCTTATTCACACTACTTTTCCATCGTGGTTCAGCCATAGCTGTGTCTGCCTCATCTTCATTCTGGCACCTAGATCAGGAACTCAGTGTCTCTCAAAAGAATTGCCAGCCTCTGAGGACTGGCGAGATAGCTCAGTGGACTAAAGCATCTGCTTAGGCAAGCTCAGGGACCGTGGTTCAATGCCTGGCACCACATGCCGCACCAGCCATTCCCTCAGGACAGGCTGAGCCAGCCAGAGTCCGGGCACAGTGGCTGTACACCTGTAATCGCAGAGCTGGGGAGGCTGAAAACAGTAGGATCACTGTGAGGCAGAGCTGTGTAGTGACACCCTGTGACAACCAAATACATTTAAAAAAAAAAAATTGTCAGCCTTTCAGCAGAGGAAAAAAACATAGTGGAATACAGCAAAATATAGACTGGCTCGTAAAGCTTCTGCCCAAGGGCTTTAGCATGTCCTCTCACTTTTCACTAGACAAAACAAATCACGTGGTCACTTTCTGTTTCCACAGATCGGAGACATAAAATCTTCCCACAGGTAGGACCACAACAGGGAATGAACTAGAATAATAAGTGAGGAAACATACAATGCACTTTCTCTTGACCTAAAGATTACAATTTGTAGGGTTGTATCCTTCCAAAATAATCATGATGTGCAAAAAGTTTATGCATAGTGAAGACTTTCATGACTGAATTTATAAGGGCATGAATTGAAAACAATACGAAGTCAAAAGTAGAGGACTAAACAAATTATGCTATATTGTTATGGTTGAAAATTATATTCTTCTGAAAGTAGAATATATAATAACTTAAGAACATGTTTAAGATGTTCATTAACTGAAAAAGAGCTATGTAAATACTGTGATATGAGTCATATAAAAATGGTAATATTTGTGTGTGTCAAAGTACTTAATATTTGTCAAATTAATAATAAAACAATACTTGAAGGAATGCTTACCAAAATCTAATATTTCAAAATTCTGTAATTATGGGAAATTTTACTTTTGCCTTTGTTTTTCGATCACATTTACATTCATATTTGGAAAAATATTTTTTTTTTAGAATTTGTCCTTTTTTTTGGAAAAATATTTTTTTCTAAAATCACTATAATAAATTTAAACAAGAATAGAAGGAAGGTGGTCAGAAGTAGGTATCCTCTTTTTCGGAAACCACAATAACAAGACCTTAAGGTCTGTTGTGACCAAAATCTATAAAAAAAAAGGCCCTCTTCTTCTGGGGTGGTACTATTTTGTGCAGGCTATAATTATTTAGGTGTATCCAACTGACCACTTCTCTCTCTCTCTCTCTCTCTCTCTCTCTCTCTCTCTCTCTCTCAGCCACAATTACGTTCGAGGCTCCATTACACTTTTCATCATCAACTTGCATCGATCAAGAAAGAAAATCAAACTGGCGGGGACTCTCAGGGACAAGCTTGTGCACCAGTATCTGCTGCAGCCTTACGGGCAGGAGGGCCTGAAGTCCAAGTAAGTACAGGCCTGGCAATAGTTTAGGAGCAAGTAAGGAATAATTTAGGGTTGAACAGGGAGGGAGCTGAAGTCATGCTTTTGCTGAAGGGGCCAGCGTTGCTACTGATTCACTCAGAGGCCCAGTGGGATGGACTAAAACAGTGAATGGCCTGGAGTCAGGGGACTGCTGATTTCCTTTGGGACCTTGGTCGTGTCCCTCTCTGTCTCTAGGCTTAGATTCCTCAACTTTAAAGTCAAACTGTGGGCAGGACATTTCTCAACAAAGTTATTTTTGGTATTTGAGAAAACACTTTTTGACTATGCAAGATTATCACATTGCAAGCCATTTGGCATTCTTGGCACCACCCCCCCCGCCGCCACTCCATGCTGCAATGCCCCTGGTTATGTGACAACACAAAATCCTGCTTGAGAACCATGTCCCTTCCAGCAGTAATTCTCTGTGACACCATGGCTCCCTTTTTATCAGCACATTTCATGAGGTCTAGAGGAAGATGGGAAAAGGGCCAAGAGTTGCTCTGCCTCTGACTTTATTCCTTGGGTGCACCACTGCTGGATCTCAGTGTCTTCCTCTGAACCACAGGAGGGAGATCATATTCTGGGGATCCTGTGGCCCCTGCAAACTATAAGTCTATGATGCTGTAACACTTCCCTGCCTCCCTCAGTCTCTACAGGAGACTATTGGCTACAATGGTCTACCAACAGAGAGCAACTCTCAGATACAGTGGGATACGGCCACCCCGCTCCCCGAGCCAGGCCTCTCAGGAAGGGCATGGGATGCTCTGCAGCCTGGGGGCGTTCCCATTCCATTTTTAATGTTTACCAACTATAACAAAGCTGTAAACTTGGAGCAGGTGGCTTGCACTCCCACAGCTGCCCACAAATATTTGCGCTATAATTGTTCGCTCTTTCACTGCAACTTTGGTGGCTTGCATTTGGCTTCCAACTGTCCGTGCAATGGGAACAAAACACAATCTGGGAAATCACTTACTGAAATTCTTTAGCCCACCCTAGATCTGTATTTTCACAAACTGGCTCTTTTTTCTGGCTACATGTACACGACTTCTCTTTTTCTTTCTTAGGAAGAAAGAAGAATATTTTATTCCTCTCTTTTCCCACTTCCTTGTAGCTCATGATGAGCATGCTCAGGTCTCAGCCTTCAAGTCCCAGCTTCACTGCTAATTAGTTGTGTGGCTGGGGAAACATCATTTATCCTAATTTCCTGGCCTCAGTTTCCACAGCTTAAGAATTCAAGGTTTGCTATATGTTTGGCAAAGTCTACTACAGCCCTAAAATTCTCATCCCAAGTCTGATTTTCTAAGGACCATAAATACATTGAAGCCTCCTGCTGCCATTCACTAATGACCCACAAGGCCATTTCTGGCCAAGCTGGCCCCTTAGTAGAGATTGTAACAAAGCCTCCTGAAACCAAAGAGCTTGGGTGCTGAGCCTGCCCAGTATCGGAAGAGACTTCCTGAAGGGGACTGTCCAAATGGTACAATCTAACAGGTCAAGGTGTCGATCCCTGCTCTGCACAGTGCTCTCACATGCAGCAGAGCAAACAAGACAATCTACGTAAAATTCCTGACACACAGCAAATGCTCAGAACATGCCCGCTGCCCTCCTTTTCCTTAACTCTATACTCTAGCCAGTTAGGGAACAGGGAAAACAGTTGCTCTCCCAGAGAATGTTATTCACAAGAAGAGTCACCTTGGATTTTAAGATAACATGTTAACAAAATATGTTAAGATGAACATATATTAAAAAGCATTCTGAATGTTACATAGACCCAAACAGAATAACAGGAGGAGATGGCAGTCAGAGGGCAGCATTCTTCAATGGATTCATTCCTCCACCAACCAAGGACGCCAGTCTCCAGTCCATTCACTCCATCCCTGTGTGTTAGCCTCCAAGATTATTCCTCTTCTGGGGTTCTCTTAGGAAGGACCTGGCTACAGTGAAGCAGACTATGCAGAAAAGGATGAAAGACTGCTCATGCGCAGTGGTGCACACTTGTAATCCAAGCACTTGGAAGGCTGAACTGCCACAAATTTGAGGTCAGCCTGGGCTACAGGGTAAATTCAAAGTCAGGCTGAACTACGTAGTGAATCACTGTCTCAAAAAATGGAAATAATAGAAAGGAAAGGAGGAGGAGAGGAGGGGAAAAAGAGAAAGGGGAGAGGAGAGAGGAGGGGAGGGGAGGGGAGGGGAGGAGAGCACCTGTTAGGAAGCAGTTTTTGTTGATTCTCTTGCTTTCTGTTTCTAAGCCACTGAGGCCAGGCTGTGCATTCTACGCATTCTAGGTCTAGGTTCTTGCTACACCCTGAGGGCACATTAGTTTACAGGCCAAAGAGTTCTGGGCAAAGGGGGAACCTGTAATTGGCTCCCCTCTGGTGGAGGCAGGGAAAAAAAATACAGAACAAATCAGTGTTTCATTTAAGCCACCATTTTGGAGTTTCAGGAATGAGATGATAAAAAATGCTTTGATTGACTGGAAACAGCATAATTCTTATTATCTTATATTTGCGATAAAGGCAAGGAGCACTGGAAGGCTCTGGAAGGTTATCCTTGAATTTGGAGCTAAGGCATAGCAGGTGAGCCACAATTCAGAGTTCAGGCACTGGGATTCACAGGGCTTCTTGTTTCCCATCTTAGTAATGAACCAACCATAAAATCCCACACACAGATCTTGAGTCATTAGGTAAGAGATTGTTCAGTGTCCAGGATATAGCTCAGTAGCACAGCAAAAGCTTGCCTGGCAAGCAGGAGACCTCAGTTTGATTCCCAAGATGGGGGGGGGGGGGAGAGAGAGAGAGAGAGAGAGAGAGAGAGAGAGAGAGAGAGAGAGAGTTGTTCTTGTACTAGGAACCACAAAAAAAGTAGGTGCTCTCTACCCCATAGGATCGAAGCTTTAGAAACCATGATGTGTGTACATGAGAATAGACATTCTGTGGCTGGAATATTTTTTGAGCCAGGCATGGTGACACATGCCTGTAATGCCAGCACTCAGGAGGCTAAAGCAAGAGGATCATTGTGAGTTCAAGGCCAGCCTGGGCTACAACATGAGGTCAAGGCCAGCCTGAACTGTAATAGCAAGACCCTGTCTCAAAAAGACCAAAAAAAGGAATAGCTGAAGGATATGGAGAGATTTAGTTCAGAGAAGAAAAGTAAAATAAGTCATGAGGAATTTCTTTGGTTACTCAAAGGACCGCCAAACAAAATTAAACAAAATTGGTCTGGAATACTCCAAAATATCACACACACACACACACACACACACACACACACACACACACGCACGCACGAAGGTCAATTTAAAAGAGATAGATTTTACCTCAAAACAAGCTCATTTTCCCAAGGCTTGCCTGATCTGATGAAGGATAATATAGGCTTTCCCAGGAGGCACCCTGAAGGTATCCTGAGAGTGCCAGGAGGGGCTACCTCTGAGGTGCTCCAGCTCCCTGCCTGTTGGGAGGCTGAGTGAGAAAGTACTGCCTCCTATCAAGCTCTAAGAGTCTATTACTCTTCCCTGTTCCCGTGGTCCCTGCACTCCCAGAATCAGGGGTCTCTGTGGTCACCAGGAAAATAGCTTCCTCTGGCTACTAGTAGACCATGCCAAGAGGCTTTGCTATAAGAATAAATGGGCTAATATCTGGCTAGTTTTTTCTAGAAAATCCCCAACTGTGGTTTCCTTCTTAGCCATGCTCCTTGGTTCTTCACCCTTCTGAAAGAGGCCCCATTTGCACCCAGAACTATGAATAGTTCAGAGGAGAGGAGAGAGAAAAGGAATCAGTTGTGCCCAAGATGCCACAATCTCCAGTGTCTTTCAACACACAGAAGCAATATGAAGAAGCTGGACCCAAAGCACCGACTTACATACAAAATAAGAGGGCCCACTTTTCAAGGGACAAGTCAAACCCAAAACAGGTATTAGGTCAGATTGTAGGTGCTTCTCTATATATCTTGTTTAATTCCACTTCAAGAAAATACAATCCAAAAATTAGGAATAAAGGAAGCCATTTCTTCACATAGGCAGCTTTAACAGTTACCTGAGTGAACCCGCACATGCGGAGGATCTTGAGATAGTATGACACTTTGAAGTGGTGTGGTTTCTTCCACACATTCTGTGACTAACCATCTAGACTAGAGGATGTCCCAGGTTTAGGGACCTCTGGCAAAAGAGTGGCCACAATTTCAGTCTGTCCAAACACTATGTTTTACCTATTGCTGGGATTTTGTGGATAATAGCTTTAATGGTTACTATGTCATTTAACCTTCTGAACAACATTATGAAAATATAGAATAATTCTTCCTTTCCCCTTTAAAGAAACTGAGTCACAATGAAATGATGCTCAAGAGTCACATAACTAGTAAGTGAAGAATCCATACAGCACCCAGCATTGAGTTTTCCTGACTCCTAGTCCTACACTGTTCTTCCCCAATAGTCCAATGATAGTCCTCATGAGTACAGAGGGATAATATACGGGAGGAACAGCTGAATGTCTGTCCACTTCCTTTTAAGAGATCAGGACATATAAGTATTTAATTTATCTGAATTAAATTCAGATTATGAGAAATCTGAATTTAAATTCAGTGTAAACACCTCGGAACAGAACGTCCCTGGGTCTTCCTAACTGTAGGCTACATTATCCTATAGACTTCAAGAGAGTTAATGTGGGATATGGCCAGGGGGCGGGTACTCTGAGGTTCTGCCTTTGAGGAGAGCAGCTCTATTTTTAGTACCTAACAGAACAGTCTGTCAGTGATGCCATAATAAAGGTGCAGAGTGTTTCTGCTCAGAGCTAATTAGTTCCATATTCATGTTTAAACTTCATATTCACATGAACCTCTTCTTCAGCCACTATATTTTTACCTGAAAGGATCTCAAGGTCCCTGTAAACTGAGAATCTTACTGCCTACTCTGAAGAAATGCAGTTTTTCTTCTTTTTCTACATATTCCTCACTCTGTTCCTGTCTTTCTAAGATGCAACTTTGGCTTG